GAATAATAGACTATACCATGAAGTATTCTGATAGATCTAAAGGAAAAATACTGTGAGAGCAGTAAAACCTTGGAACTAGTTGAGCGTAGTCGTTACTGAATTTGAATACTTGGAGGTATTCAAAACTTGACTCAATAGAGCTTGAGTAACCTGATCGAAATTCAAAGTTAGCTGCGGCCAGATATTTGGAGAAATAATAATTTTCTGCTTAAATTCTTCTACGAATCAATGATTTTGCAAACTTAGCAAGCACAGGCTTCTCTATCCATACTTTTGATGTTCCTGAAAGGGCCTCAGGAAAAAAAATTGTGGTGATAAATGGAAGGTGGCCAAATTATTTGTGCTGATGGACTAGGAACAGCCTACAGATGATACAGTGTAAACTAGTTGTTTTAAGCCGTTTAACAGCAATTGTATTTTAATTTGTTTTATCTGCTTAAGGCAGCCACTTGTGCAAGCCCAGGTTGCACATTTTCTTGCAGTGCAAGGGTTGTTGCTTCACATGAAGAAAGGAGTGACATATTGTTTGCAATTCAGTCTTTCAACAACTGTATGTTTTTTATAGTTAGGTTAGTGCTTAACTGCTCAGTTAGTGTCACTTTGTCCCCCTTGCAATGTAAAGGAACACTGTAAAAATAAAGACAATTTGTCTAACTACTCTAATAACTACAAATTATATTTATTATAATAGAATAACATAGTATGTATTGCATAATATAATAAGTTCATATCTAAATATCTTAAAGGAGATTTGTTTATTCATGTGGAGCTCTAAAACACTTATCACTCAAAAGGAAGAAGCATGTGATTGTATTTGTGTGTCTCTGGTCTGGATAGGCCTCTAGCTCCAATAAAAGAAAAAAAAAACTTTAAAGTGCAATATATTTGGTGATGAGAGAATCAAAACTGAATAAAAGATAGCAAACCTCAGAAATTTTGGAAAAATGAGTTTATACAATTTCCCAAGGTCTGATACAAGAAGTCTGAATGTCTAGGAATCTGGTATTTTTACTGAAAAAAATAAAAGCAGACCAAAAAGGATGACCTATTACCTCAGCTTATTTTCTTCTACATTGTCAAGCAGAAGGTCATAGGTTTAGGAAGTAACATCATAATCATGTTAACAGCCATAACTCTGCAGTTATATTCTTGTCACAGCTATGCAATTCTATGTTTCTTTTCCCCTATTGGGAGGGTGTGTGCGCGCGAGTGTGTGTATAAAATATACAGTAGGTAAACATATTGAAGGGCTCTGGTAATTTCATGGTAACCACAAGAGCAAAGCTCAAGCTATTTGTGATGTTAACAGAAACCAGAGATGGACTGCATGTATGGGCTCATTCACAGTCTCTGAATTGCCTTTTATATAGTTCATGGATCACACAAGAGCTTAAGAGGAAAAATATTTTCTTTAAATTCATGTACATAATGTCCCTTTTCCTTCCAACATACCAGAAGAAGGCCTGATAATTTTGACTTATTGTAAAACATTACTGCATTTTTTTTTAATACAGGAATATCTTATGCACTAGATTTCCCTGTAAGAAATTTATGTGTGTAAATCCTTGCTGAGAAATTAACATCTAGTATCAAAAGGGAAGTCATTCAACAAACTAAATGAGCAGAAATTAGATATGACTAAAATATACTTCTGACAGACACAACTGTCTCTTGAAAAAAGATGTAAAGCTCTTCTAGCATCTTAAAGCAATTCTGAAGTTCAGTTTACTAATTTGAATTCCTTCCTCTCATGAAGACACCTAGGGTGATACTTTGAAAATTTTAGCAATGAATAGCTTGTTTAAATGCTTCTTTAACAAAACATTTATTTATTCTAGAATTTGTGGCTGAATACTTTTCTCATTTACACCTGTGCAATCACACTGAAGTTAAATTGGAAGAGATTGTCCAGGATAAAAATATCAGAAAAAAGAGTGGTGCTAAACATAATTTACTGAAAATCAAACTAATAGAAAAATAGAAGGAAAGAGTGATTTTTGATACTTCCAGACCAGATAGGTTACTGGACACTTTCAAACTGGACCATTGGATCTTTTGAAGTCTTCCCATAATGACCATATTAAAGGCAAATTTGTATATGCTCCTATTTAAACACATATATATTTATTTATTTTTGGAAAACTATTCCCATAATTACATCTGTGCAGTCTGACCATCTGCAGCATTTAGTATGGGGTTTCTTAAAAAGAAATCTGTGTAGGTCAAATAAATGAGACTTTGTCCCACACAGACAGATGAAGAGCTTCCTCAGAATTAGCTCCCATATTAGAAACTACATGGATGCATTGGTCTATCTCTAGGCAAATTCATCCTGTTGAGAATTTTTTGAGATTAACAATTTGGCCTGGAAACACCATCAAAAAGAATGGTGTTATGTTTGCATCTGCATGAAATATCATTTTTTTCCCGGATTTTTTTAAACTGCCTTGACTGTTTTCCAAATTAGTAGAGAAATAACAACAAAACCAACTGCAGTGAAATAGCATGGATATGGGAATGTTCTTGTTCTCTAGGAACAAAGGGAAATAATTTGTTTTTATTTGCTGCTGCAATTAATGCACATGTAGTCATGAAAAACAAACAAACAAACAAACAAACAAACAAACTGCAATTAAAAGATTTTGCTATTCCTATATAAAAGAAAGGCAAGACTGTAGAGATGGCAGAGTTTCTGGTTTTCTGAGTTCATGATAGAAACAGAATGTGTGCAGTTTGCACTTTCAAGAAAAGGAAAAGATATTCTCTGGATTTTATAGGTTGTCAACTGCTATCTTCTTTACTACTCTTTATGTGCTCATTGCATGCTGTGTGGCTCCAAAATCTATCCTTCAAAATAAGTTTGCAAGCAATAATAAGCAGCAAGTCCTGAATGACTTTTCAGTTGCCATAAACTTAAAAATCATACTTACCAACTCTTTCAGGGTCCTTTATTTCCTTATTGTCAGAATCAAAATTGTCAGATTCTGCAAAGGATCTGAATAACCTTCCAGGCAAAAGGATACTCAGTAATCTCTGAATACTGAGCCGTAAGAGAGACATTGGTGCCTTCAGGATTATTGTGTGTGATTGAATGCAGCAAACTTTATTAACCAAGGCAATGGTTCAAATGGGTCTTACTAAGATACATACTTGAATCCCCCAATTAAAACATTTGTTCCATGAGGACTACATTTTTTTTCTGATTATAAGTGAAAACAGACTCAGGTGTAGGGTAATAAGGAAGCTGAAAATCAAGTCAAACTGTGGAGGGTCTCTCATGAGCTGATGTTTGAGAAGAATTTATAAACTGCTGAAAATAGGAGGTGAGGATGAGAACTGTTTTGTCCAGCCCAGAGCAGAGAAAGATAAGGAGAGGCCTCACAGTGGCCTACAGCTCCTCTGTGACAGCAACAAGACCTGAGGCAGTGGCATGGAACTGCATCAGGGAAGGGTCAGGTTGGGTGTTAGGAAAAAGCCCTTCTCTGAAGGATAGTGGGCATAGAACAGGATCTCCAGGGCAGTGGTCACAGCTCCAAAATGCTGGAGTTCAAGGAGTATTTGTACAACACTCTTAGACATAGGGTTTGGTTTTGGGTGGTTCTGTGTGGATCCAGAGGTTGAACTCAATGATCCGTGTGGATCCATCCAACTTGAGATACTCTATGATTCTATGAAGAGCTCTGAAACTCTCACTAGAGTCTCTTTCCTCCTGTAGATCGCAAGAAGTCCACAGGAAGGAGGAAAAATCCTTGATCAGCTCCCTCAGGCACCTTATTCACTTCATTACCTCTCAGCAGATCACCTAAGATATGCAGAAGATGCCTGAGGTGTGCCCAAATAGTTGTGTGTATGTGTCTGTGTGGAAAGGTAATCTGCATTCATGTGAGGGGGTGTGCCAATGTGCATACGCCTGTATGTGTAAACAGGGACACTGAGAAGACCAAGAGTTTGGGAACCAAGGATTTGCTACCATGCCTTTTCCCTACTTTTCTGCAGGAAACCAAGATAGAGAAGTTACTGATTCTTTTCTACTGCCAGAATTACCAGAGTCCAGATTAGTTTGTCAGGTCCTATAGCATCTGCTAATACAACTGTTCGACATATAATTTATAAAATAAGACTGTAATTATCTAATCCTTTCTATCTGCAGTATATCTCAACTAGATGAGTTCAGTGAGCCATAATTTATCTTTAACTTGTTGGTGGTTTGGGGGATATGTGCTGTTGCAAAGTATTAGGATAATGGGAAAAAGAGTGCTGAGTTGGAAGATTTTTTTCACTGTCTGTGACTCTCATTATTCTTTACTTCCACTGGTCTCAAATCTGATAGTAAAAAAAAAAAAAATCAGCTACAAGCATAACTTACATTCATTAAAGCCCAAATTCATTTGCAACATGAAAATAAAATTAAGTGTGAAGGGGGAATTCACTTTATAGTGCTAACCAAAGAGTAATTGCAAAATATGTTAATCTAGTAATAAATATGTGAAAAAATACCTATGTATAGTGTCTATTCATAGATGATAGAAGAAGGCGTGAAGCTCAGAATGAAGTTTTAAGTGCCTGCCGAATATAGAAAACATTACACATCAAAGCTTAAATATATGGTTACTCCAGATCTTCAGCAGACCTCACTGGTAACCACAAAGTTTGTCTCCTAGTCTGTCACGCAATGTTTTCCAGGGACATACAACACAATTTGTTCAGTCTGCAAGCTGAAAAAGAAACACCCTCAAGTGTAATTTCATATTAAAAAAAAAACAAGCACAAAAATAATTTTTTATCTTAAAACTATCTTTGAAAGAACTTCAGGAAAAACTCTTGGATATATTATCAACCATGTCTGTATTTTATGGATTAATTCATAGGTTTCTTAGGATTTTATTTGGTAAATATTTCTGAGGAGAAACTAATTATGGATGTATCAAGTGAAATCAAGTAGTGCAGAAAACAAGAGATGAAATATCTATATTTAATATTATTCATTTTATGTGTTCCAGATTCAGAACAATCTGTGGGCGGGGAACACGGCTAGTGGTTCTGTGGTTACTTCCTGCATGATACCACGAGATACTTCCTCCTGTATGACACCTTATTCCCATTCACCCCGGACAGATTCTGGCTACACAGGCTTTTCAAACCACCAGAATCAGTTCAGCCATGTGCCCCTCAATAATTTTTTCACTGACTCTTTACTTACTGGGGCAACCAATGGACATGCTTTTGAAACCAAGCCGGAATTTGAAAGGAGATCTTCCAGCATTGCAGTTCTACGGATGAAAGCCAAAGAGCATGCTGCCAATATTTCCTGGGCTATGTAATATAGCTGTACCCTTTCTTCATATCCTTTTTTAAATAGTAAACTGAAAGCATTTTTATTTTCCATATTTAAAGGATACAACAATAAGCCGCTGTGTGTGGAATGCTAAAGATCACAATATACGTGACATCTGCTTACAGAAATGCAATATCATATTTAACAATAAAACTTAAGAGTAAACCATATAGATTTACCATGCATCAAGTTCAACAAGCCCTCTTTGTTTTGGTTTTCATATAGAAACATGTTTTGTTGTACAAGTTGATGAAAAATGGTTATAGAACCTGCAAAAAAGAATAAACCAATTAAGCAAATATGTCTACGCCACTGGTTCTTAGTAATTTTGTACACAAAATTAATGTTTTTCAAATTAATACTTCATAATGGAAGAACTATGTAAAGGAAAATACATTTCAAATATTAGAACCATGATGTAAATCTCTAAGAACATAATGCAGAGAAGGAAATATATCATCACTTATGTTGTAGGTGGAATTTGTAGACCTAAATTTCTCAGTACTGTGCTGCGGTTCTGAGCCAGCTTGCTGCTTTTCTAAATGTATGTAGAGCTCACTGGAGTTGTAGCAATGCACAACTAACATAACGAGAATAGAGGGTAGTCATTCATTTTATGAATTTGAGTGTATTCCTATTACAGATTATGAGATTTTTAATAAAGGTATCACTAAAAGCAGAATCAGTGTTTAACAGAGTTTCAAATAAGTGCACAGATTGTGTAAACTGACAAGAGTTTAAATGAAATATTTCAGGTTTCAGATAGAATGTCTTGAAACTTTCAAAACAGCAACAGCAAAATCCCACTTCTGCTCCATTCTTATTGTATTTGCTATGCTGTGGTCAAATTGAAAAGGAAAAAGTCCAACAAGTCTTTCCAATTTCAGTCCATGGCTGACCTCAAGATGTTATAACAGTACATTTCATTTAGTTTTACAGTTTGTTGATATGTTGCTTATTTATTTATTTTTTTTCAGAGTGTAAGACTTTTTTTCTCCTTTAAAGTCCATAGGAAAAATCTTTTCGACTGCAGTGGCAACAGGATTTGGCTCTCAGCTCCCAGCCTATCACAAAGGAATTAAAATGTCAGCAGACTTTCTGACATTTCTGGTGGAAAAAAAAATAGAGGAGAAGAAAAATACTTTACATCTGGAGAACTGCTATCTACTTTGATTTACTTCTCCTCCCTTTCCCCTGTCACATTCCAGGCTCCTTCAGATGAGTGAAATGTCAGCCTCTTTGAAAGCAACAGTCAGTCTCTCAGGTTCATAAAGGCAAAGTAAATTAATTGAAATAAAGTAGGACTCACACGGCTGTGATTAAACAGGATACAGGTCTCTGAGTAGCCCCCTGCTCCTTCTTGCTTTTCTCTCTGGACATTAGTTAGAAAAAGAGCATGGTGAGGGGAGAAGGGAAGATCAGGGGAGCACATTTTGTCGCAGCAAGAGCAAAACTACCAGTACTCGTTAAAACACACTCTCAGAAACTCCCAGCTTGTCTCTGCTCCTACTCATGAGGCATAACTTGAAAACAAAAATAGGAGATGGGTCTATTCTGTAATCTTTCAGTGGAATAATTAGACTTAAATTTGAAACCATTAGGATCAGTTGTAAATGGGTATTTTACAGCAAATTCTTAGAAAAACTATTGAAAGAGACATACATATGCTTGAATTCGTGGTTTCCTGATTCTACTCTTCTTCTGAAAATGAACTTCAACTTTGGGCTGAGTAACTGTGAAAGAGTATTCTGGCTAGAACTTATCATTTCCTTTTTTTATGATCTGCTTATACAGAAGTAAAATTATTCTAATGACTTAAATAAAAAAGAATTTTATTAGCACATGTAAAGATGCTAGTTTTATATAGACACTTATGCCAGATACACAAGTAGTGGAAATGCAAGTTTTTCCATTTTTTTTTCTTCTTTAGTTTCCTCATAATCCTTTTTTAAGGTACAATATATAGAACACGTCAAACTGGTTTTCAGATAATCTTTACTAGGTTATGATTACTGGACTAAGAAGCAAAAGCTGGCAAAATTAGCCATTGTTTTCCTTGTTGTCTGTCTTTTAGTTTTATTCATTTATTTTGAAAGCAGAATTTGTAATTATTTTCTTGTGGAGTCCAGCAAGTTCATTTTTACAGGGTATTTTATGTAAAGAATAAAATTAAACAATTTCTAGGAATTTATTACAGTGACAGACTGTTTGGGGAAAATAAACGTTTTTCAAAACATTAGAGCATTTTTAGATGCTTGAAACTTCCAAAATTGAAGGGAAAAATAAAATACTATGTCATCTTCCAGCTGATTTTAATTAAATGAAAGGGATACAGTTCTAATTAAATTTTCTTCCTCAGTTTAAGCATTGGAAATTATTTGTTACATGTTGCTAGCATAACTATGCATTCGGCAAACAGGTATTAAACCCTTCATTAAACCTGAGGTGTGATAAGTTGCAGACCTGCATTAAGCTTGTCATGCTCTTGAATCAGCCTTGTCTTAAAGAATGAATGATAGTCTGTTGGCTGCAGCATTTCATTTAGCTAATGAAAAAGCATCTTCATGTTAGATGTCAAGTACTACAACAGGGTCACATTCTGCCACTTTTATTTAGTACTGCTTTACTCCATGTGTAGATGCATTGACGTGAGCAAGACTACTCACATAGACCAAATTGTGAATCACTTGTAGAAGTTTATTCACAATGGCCCTATTCATGCAAAGAGTTGCTCACCATGAGTAATCGTTTCATAATCAGGCCCAGCTTAAGGTACTATTTAACTCTGGTAAGGATGGCAGAATCTGGCCCACACTGGCTTAAGGCCAGACTCAGACTTTTTAACCAAGATGAGTAGCTCCTTATTCCATAAGCAGTGCAAATAAAGCCGAAGGGTCTATTTGTAGGGTTTTCTTTTTATTAAAAAATCTTGAGAAGAGGCATTTCTGTGTATGCAAATAATTAGAATAAATTTCTATTCAATGTAAACGATTTCATTTTTCACTGGACTATACTACTACATTTGTCAGGACTTGTGTTCTAGCTTTTTGATTGTATCCACTTAATGATTTCTCAGCATGAACAACTAATCTTTTCACTACTTCTCCAACATGTGGCAGATGCACTAAAAACAAAAGGAGATGATTTACATAGCCTTCCTGCCAAGTTCCTTAACTAATGTTTGAGATATGTGATCATCATGCAATGCTGGGCAGTAAATTTTTAGCACTTCTTTGCAAAGAGTCCCTGTTCTGTTAAAAGAGAAAGTGAAATATTATTGTAATTATTACTGTGAACAATTTGTGATGACATAGTGCAGAGCTGTTTTTTTTTTCCCTCCTATGATTGATTCATTAGCAATTTGAAAACGTTAAGCCTGTGTTTGAAGTCAAATTTTCAAACAGATGTAAATTCATCCATGAAAATTAAAAGTGCTTTCTAAGATTTATGCAGACTCATGTGAATGATGGACAACGCTGCATTTAGGAGCTAAAGACCATCCGCTTATCATAAAGGGGATCAGAAGACTTTGACACAACTGATGATTTCTACCTGCAGTTTAATTGGCAGTATTACACGTCAGAGAAATGTATCAATGAAGGCAACTTTTGTTGCTGAGAAAGAGCTGAAATGAACTATATTTCTTACTTCATTTCTTTAATGTAGTAATATTTTACACTGTCAAGTGTTGAAAAATTCCAGTTCAATATATTAAATGCATTTGTTTTAACTGTAAACTTTATAGTAAGACCATGAAGTATACTGTTTCACAGATACCAACAAAATACATTGTATTTTGTACATTTAATACTGAGATATTTTTAAATGATAGAAGTAAATACTTATGGTTGTAAAGTATAAAATATTTCAGTGTTTTCAAAATTACACAGATGAATTAATGTTTTCTCAGTGAATTTCCAGATATTTGCCCGTCTGATCAGAGATAAAACTGAACTTAAAACACAGAAACTGCTAAAATTCAGTATGTTTCCAGTGGAAAACTGTTGTCTTCGGCAAAAGACTGTCTTGCTTTTCTTTTTTTTTCCTCCAGCACTTTCGTAACTAAGTAACAAGTAGTCCATGCATTGTAGTTGTAATATCTCTTATCCCTCTACAACGATCATTTAGGTTTGTCTGGCATTTGAAGGATAGTGAGCAGTTACCCAAAGCTTATGCTAATGGCTACTTCTTTATCCCACTTATTTAATATCACTTCTGAGCAGCCTGAAGAAGCTGAAGTACTTATCTGGTTAAACTTGGTTTACAGCTGCTTTGTATTGCCAGTGCAACACAAAACAGCTGTGGTACACTGGTGAATTATCACTTGAAATATTGGCGGCATAAGCATACTTACTAAGTAAATATCCAGAATGTAAAGCTGCAGTAGTTTAAAGAACATATTTTAGATTTAAATTGTGTAAAATAAGCAGAACACTGGGCAAGTACTGAATGTGAGACATGTGTATGAGAGAGGCACTGTATAGTGAGCATGGAAGTATGATGACCGGGAATGACAGAATAATCTTCTGGGAGGAGGGAGACTCAGAGTGTTCAAATGCAGTCCGCTATAGGTGTCACTGATTTTTCAAAATAGGAAAAAACCCCACAGTGGATCTTTCAAAATCCATTATCTTCTATAGGAATAGGGTCATTGTGAGTCCTCACATGGAAAAGATCAAAACTTCCACTTAGCTCATGTTGCTCATAAAGATGATTATTCCCATAGTAATAAGCAGTAGAATAGACTAAGAAATGCATCAATTCATAGACAAGTATATTGATGAAAGACAAGGATAGCAAATAAACACCATTGGCAAGACTTCACTTCATAGGACAGTATTTATATTTTCTGAATGGCTAACAAGATTACTTCTACATGAGTGCTTTGCTCATTTCTATCTACAGTAACACTCCGTATTCCAACAGCTGTCAACTGCTTCATCCCTCAGAAGCTGGGGAGAACAGTGATGATCTCTGCATCCTTTTATGTAACAAAAATAATAGAAGTAGGCTTAATCTTGCCTGCCTTATACTCCTGTGAGAATAGCCATATGTGAACAAAATGCATGTTTGTCCCACAGTCATTACAGCAGTGCAGTCTTCTGCTATAATCCATCAGTTGCAAAGGATTTGACTCTTGTCCCTTGAATTGCTCTGTGAATGAGAAATTCATTGATACGGAGAGGGATTACAAAGAGGTCTAAATCCCTTTCTTGTTAAAAACACAGGAATATCCAGTCTGATAATAAACTACTTGTAGGTAAAGTAAGGGCCTAGTTAACACTTCCATGTTTTTGCCCTTTTGAGAAATAATTCAGCTAAAATGAAAGCTTTGTTAAGCAGTATCCTAAAAAAAAAAAATAAAAAAAAAAAAAAAAAAAAAAAGACACAAGAATGTGAATCAGTATGACTATATTTACTCAGGTGTATTTAGATTTAGTCAAATGAATTTATTTTAATCATTAAAAATGGAAAACAGATGAGATCTTGAACTATGAAAAGGCAATATAAAGCATGTTCATTGCATATTTTTTTCTAAGTGATATTAAGGGAACAACTCAGCTTCTAGAGTACTAAAAATATTTTTTCATTAAACTTTGTAAATATTAACATATAATGGAATATGGAAAAAATTCAGCTGTCACTTGAACACATAAGATAAATTTAAAAAATGAATCATTCTGGGAGCCTTTTAGAAAAAAAATGGTTTGGAGTAGAGACCTGAATTAGTGAGTACTATTTAACAAATGTAATATATACAATGAGAAAGGAGGAAAATTCACTTATTGTTTGGGAGTTTATTGAATATTTGGAGCCAGATTATTCAGTGTTGGCAGAGAGGGCTGAAATTTCCTTTATTTAAAAATCTCCCTACGATCAAATCCTAATCGAAGCTAGTGGGAGTCTTGCCAGGGATTTGACTTGAGACTACAATATGATTCCTAATAAATACTTAATAGATTTGCAATGCTAAATCAAATTGTTCTGGAACAACATCATTTTATATGAAGGTTTTTTTGTGAGGTAGTCCATTCTGCTATTTTTAAAGCACTGAATTTTAATAAACCATTGTTTTATATCTAATTGATTACAGTAATAAACACACAATATTTTTTTTTTTGGTAAGAATCAGAGAGACGAGGATGGACTGGATAGTTTTTGTTTTTCCCTCTTTAGGAAAGCCTGTTCTAAAGGGAATTGTTAGTTTTAATTTGAAAACAATTCCACAAATATACTAAACTGGTAGTCCGGAGGCAGAGTATTAACTTTTATATAAACTAATTCATCTAATTCTCCTCAGAAATTTAAGCAAATAATGTAACTGAGATAAACAGAGAATCACTTAAAAATGCACATTTATCTATACTTCCTACTTATGCTGCTAAATGCTTAAAACAACAGTAGGTCATAAATTTGCCTTTTCGTTCTCATTCTTTTGGCAGCGTTTCCTACATGCTGCACTTTTAAGAGTGCAGCTTGGTCTCCTCTCAAATAAATAAGAGCCATGGAAAGAAAAAACTGCAGCTACAAAGTAGTTCTAACCCATTAAATGCAGATGGCCCACAGGAGGTTTAATCATAAGAGAGAGAACACACATCATGCTGAAATATAGAGCTGTTTTCTATCACTTGTTACCATTTGAATGTCTATCCCAGGAAAGTGAATTCAATATATCTTCCTGGCCATCAGTTGCCCTCTGAATACTCCTTCTCTCTCTGATGTAGCTGGATTTCCCTTTAGAATGTATAGAGATGAATGAGCTTTTACCACACGTAGAAGTGAAAGAAAACATTTCTTTCTGCACCAGAACAGATGAGATTCATCATTAAGAGAATGGATTTGACCTTGTCAAGTGGACCAAAGCAATTTATAAACAAACTCCTACAGGGGAGGCTACTTTTGGCCAAGTACTATATTAGCAGTGTTTTACTTATGCCCGCTGCTACCTTACAATAACTTCACAAACATGCTGACTTCCTGAAATATAGGGTGCTGAGAGATATCGCAGATGTACCTAGAAACATTGGGATAGCACAGGTTACTTCCCTCCCTAGAGGCTGTATAGAAATATATCCATCCACCTTGTTATCGTATTCTTGCTTAAAGTTGCTGATCAGTTGTTCACTACTCAATTGAGTAAAAGGGTTTATTTATCAGAATATTACTGGGATAACAAATACAAGCTCGTTGTGTTTGTTTTGTTTCCAGGTTTAGAAAAGAGGAGTCAATGGCTTCCTACAAAATTCAGATGATGATGATTCATACTCTCATTTGTTCTGCTTTTTCTTTTAATTTTTTTTCTTTTTTTTTTCCCCCTTCAATAGGATTCTTAAATTTCAGATAAAGATTTTAACTCCCCTTCTTCTAAACATAAGTCACATATTGTTTTTAAGTGGGAACAGCATTTCAATGGGTACAAAAGTACAGTGGTCCATATTATGTCCTGCCCAACAGTGATAAGCAAGGCAGAAAAGAAAGGACATGAACTGGCTCAAAGACAGTTCTTTTCTATAGGAAGAGAAGATTGTGCCAATCCAAGGGGGTGGCTGCATGGTAAAGTGGAGGAAAGTCTCACTCAATTTATAAGCTACATATCATTGATAAGAAAGATTTAGCTATGACTTCTTAGACATACCTACAATAACCTTAGTAATATAGTAATATCAGCAGAGCCAGGTGACATGGTAATCTCCCCCAGCCCCCAAAAAGGGAATCATGGAAAATTTATAGAAAATGATTAACTAACATACTCACTGTCTTAGACCCACTCTTCCTATGGGATTTATCTTCTGCATTAAAAAAAAGGTGAAGTTACTACTTACATCATAGTTTACAGTAATATATACCCATGTACAATAATAACGCATAATTGTAATTTTTATTGAAACTGTATTAAAAGTTATAATTAAGGTTGATGGCTGAGAGAAATAGCTCTTTGTTCAGACAATTAGAAGCTCTAGTAGACTATATGAAAAGTGCTTCAGGCCATTAAATTTCTCAGATCTTTCAAAATATATGGAGACTCCATCATTTATGAGTCTTATTTGAATAGCCAAGATTTTTATACATATTTTTGTGAGGAAGAAATAAGTTCTGTCCAAGGCTTAACTACTACATCTTAGATGCTCTTTAATGTTCAAAAAGCACAAGACAACGGTCTCAACCATGTTTCATTGCCAGGAGATAAAAATACTGACCCTCTTGAGGTCAGAACAATGAAAAGAATTTCCCAAGTCCTTAGGAGCCACTACACTGCATATATTCATAGTTGTATAGCAGATTTATGCCTTATTCATCAATGGGTCAAGTTCTCAAGGTCTTCTGATATTAGACTGAGAAAAAATCCCGTGTTTACTGCTTGCAGTTATTATTCTCAGTTACTATTCTTTATTAATGCACTCTCCCTTTCAACATGTGCTGCGTGTTTCTGAATCATATACAGAGATGGGACCCAGTTACAGTATTAATTTCTTTAGAATTATAATCACACTTCAACTCTGATTTCTAAAAGTTTAAGGAAAAATGGAGTCAAAACCTTGGGCTTTGGATCCACTATACTTACAATGAAAATATATGAGATATAAAAAAATATAGGAAAAGAACACAGCAAAGAAGTGATTATAACTGTGTAACATAATTATCTTGAAAAATATTTTTTATATAAGTATGCATCTGTTTACTCTCTTTAAGATGAATATCAGGGTTCACTGGGAAGTTTATTATCCTGGGAAGAAATGTATGTATTTTTGTAAAGAAGAAAATATGCTTTATTATTCGCCTTAAATGAAACAAAACCAAATCTGTCTGTCTCTCTCTCTACCTTCACACCATGCAGCAAACATTAAAGATGGGTGATATTTAATGAAAGTTATTCTCTTCTTCCTCAAAATTTCTCTTATAGCACTAATTCATCTGAAATCAACCCTCATGTTTTTAATCTGCCTGAAAATTCGCTAGGGCATTTCCAGAGAAGATATTTTCCTATATTCAATTTGGTCCTTTCAATATATGGCACAATCACATTTCTTCAGTTTTACTCATTCTGTTCTAACCTCTAATCTAAGTTGAAAAGTGGTACAGGAACATAGAATAAATTTTCTATTTATCTGGAGACCTTCAAAAGTGTTCAGAGGCAAGACTTCT